GTCGTGTTTCGGTTTTCATTTCAAAACCATTGTACTATGTGTATGTGGAATGTGAATGCCAAAGTAACGTTTATCTATACCGTGAACACAATCCTATCCCCTCCCTACGTCCTATGGTTATATAGATTTTAGGCGAAGAAAAAGTTTGCGTATTGTTTTGTGTTTTTATTTTTGATTCTGAGCGGAGCGAGGAATGTTTTGATTTTAAAATTATGTTTATTTTGATTTTTTTTTTTTGTGAACATCTTTTCTACCAACAATTATGCAAAATAGCATCTAAAATTAAAAGTTAAAAAAAATATTTATTTATTTATGTTCGAAAAATAAAAAATACTAATAATAATTGATATAGCTATATAAGTTATATTAAGTCCAAAACTCTTATTGGAAACCGATCAATAATGTGTGTATTAATAGTTTAATTTCGGTGTATATTTAAAAGCGCTAATCCAGTCAGCCTCTGCTCACTCATTCTGCTTCTTAACCAAATTTTTAATCTAATAAACAATACACCAAAAGCAATAATAAGCATAAACGTAAGCATAATTAATTAGCGATAAATAATTTATCTAATTAAATATTTCCAGATTTAAATTTGTAAATAAAATAAATACTCATTAGTGAATAATTGATTTACGGTAATTAATATTTAAATACAGTAATGAAAGAGAAGTAAAGCTGTTAGAATTGTATAGCATAAGTAAAATATAAGTGTACCAGTTAGTGGTACGATATACAGCATGCATCGTTGTATACTTTTATATAAGTATTTAATATTTTAAATACTTATAAAAACTTAAAATTGTGTTTTAAAAAAAAAACGTCCTAGGATAATGAGAACGGGTACAGCCACTGTTATACATAATTCAATATATACCTGTAAGCAACGATGTACCGTTGCTTACGAAAAAACGATTCTGATCGGAGTTCAGTTGCTTTGGAAACAATATACATACATGTCATTTTATAGTAAAATAATAAAATAGGCTTTATATATTTTCTTTAATAATATATTTTTAATATTGTAACGATTTTCCCGGATTTTCCATGTTTTATCCCGGCTTTTCACGTCTATTTTGATCTTACGCATATTTCATACAGAAATTAATAATTAACTGCAATACTGTGTCATCGAAAAATAAAATAAAAAACATTTGAGTGGATTAATTCCTTTATAAGTTTCAATTAGTTTTTTTATACTTTCTTTTTCGACGTTTTCGGGAAATGATGAATACACGGGATTTGCTTTAGATTTCCGTATTGGCGTATAATTTTGTTTTATATTACCTATTTTTTTTTTTCTTGGATTTTCTGATGTTGTGAGTCTACATTCGGAAATCCAGCCATTTAAAATTTAAAAATACAAATAGATTTAAAACTACAAATGTACCACATATGTCACTACTGAGCACTTTTGTCATTTATTACAATTTCATTATCGTCTACATTTTCCTCATCGGTGAGACAGTCAACACCTGGGGGAATTATAATAATATCGGTGGGTTCGTCATCACTCGCGTCTACATTATCTAAAAGCTCCACTATCTCTTCCGATGTTTTTAACCTTTTGAACTCGCTCGTTTCTATAATAATAAATAATTAAACGTAACTAATACGTAACTAATCCGTACTGATTATTAAAAAACATAAAACTTACATGGGTGAGTTTTTAGCGATTGACCAAACCAATGATTGCAGAAACAAAACAGCAACAGAAATACAAAAAACAAGAAATACGAAATATTGCTATGACAAAACAGAACGAACGCGTCAAGTCGTCAACTAAATCAACTAAATAGATAATCTTATTTACTTTTTTCCCTATATAGTAGATACGTAATTGACATAGTCATTTCATATTAGTACGCGCGGATGTCGGCGTACTCGTATTTATAAATAATAATAATGGCTGTTATCGGCTACAACAATGTACGCGGGTAAAAACCGCGCACCCCGTCCCGTTTCCCGCGACCACGGCGGTCAAAGGACGACCGGTACTGGAATTTATATGCTACGAACCGTCCACGTTGCGTATACGCAACATGAACTTTAAACTTCAATTGTAGCGTGAGCTAAGAGCACAGGTTAATAAAAACGATCTAAATACGTCAAATACCATTTTGAAAATAATGATATGTACACAGTTCGAACTTAAAAATACAAATTTATATTTTTTTTAATTCGTCAAAATATTTAAAAATTGTATACCTCGGAAATGTATTATTTCTGTGCTATATAATATCGTTCATATAACCGAGACACCGGTATTTATATTTTTCATTGATTTACTGGTGTATTCTCAATCGAATAGTATCACAGTTGAATTAAAAAAAAAATTTAATCCAGCACAAAAATATTGTTTAAAATAATGTTCCGTACACGCAACTTCGGCCGTAAATGGGTTAAACTTTTCAAAATGAGATTTGTTGAGTAATCTTTTTTCATCCGTACCTTTTTTATTGTGTACACTATGCGGATAAACAAAATCATTTCCAGCAATATTAGATACTTCCAGAAGTCTAACTTTGTTATAATCACTTATATTTGTTACTCCTACATAAGCACCGAAATCTGTATTTGAATCCATATATTCGTTTAAACTGAACTAGATGGTGTATTTTAAACTAATAGACTCTGTGAATGATCTTCTTCACTTGAAACTACTTCGTGAACATGTGTAATACTGATGTCACTAGTTTTGTTTATGCTTATTTATATTTACCCATGTGACAAGACTGCCAGATCGGTTCTTCTTATTATTTTTATTCGTCTCTAAATCCACTAAAACATATTTGCACACAGTTAAAAAAAATTGTCTAGTGAATTTCTAGCTTGCAACCTTGGTTATAGAATAATAAATAATATTATCATTAATTTAAATATCCCATGAACTGATGTTAACATAATTTAACTGCTACAATATGTTTTCTTTGATTCAATGTTTGTCTTAGATATCATTATTTACATCAACGGTCAGTAATTAGTGTAACCAACAAAAATGTAAAATTATTAAAAATTTGTTCTAAAGAATTATGGATATTTTGTAAAACAAAAACAGAACATCACATGACCTATAGGGGGGAGGCTATTGCCCCTTTCGTCCCTCCCCTCAAGGACACGCCTGCATACCGTTGGACAAATTTCCTCTGAAAAAACCTCGAAGATGGTTTGAGTTTCAATGTACTATTAATTTGTTGTACAAAGGTTAAAGTATGCAGTGTCTTGGTTTGTTGGTTCATCTTTAAAAAAAAAAAAATGATTACTTATCTTTTTGAAGATTTATTTATTAACACCTGTCTTATAATTTTCATATTAAAATAAGTAATTACAGTTAATTGTTTTAAATAATATATTTTAATTAAAACATAACAACTAAATAGACGTGATAAACAGACGATGAATCGAACAACAAGCGAGTAGTGTGGTTAGGAAAGAACATTGAGAAAGGTATTATGGTGATAGCGTTCATACTATCATATACGTTATGGTAACGGTGCTGTTTTTCTAAAAAATTGTACTGTATTATAAAAAAAATGGGCATTTTATTTACATACAACCTATTTTAATAGGACAAAAATTGAATCAATAGATATTTAAAAAATAATATTTTGTCTATACGAGTAAACACTGACAGGCCAACCTAGAGTGAAACGGCAAACACTACGTCTATGGAGAATGTACTTTACTTTATGTTACACACGAATTTATACACTGTAATAACAGTTTTATTTTTTTGATTTCACAAATACAAAAAAAAAAAAAATAATGATTGTTGTTTAAAAATCTGGTGATTTTGAAAAAAATTGAAAAACATATTTCATAATCGTGAACAATGATATCTAAAAACTTAAAACATCGTTGCATTTCCCTTTTTTCCGTAGTGAAAACGCATAAATCCATAGCCCGAGTAATTTACACCGGGCGAAAGGGTTTTTCGTTAAAGTTTCTGTTAATTTCTGCACGTTTACACTACTAAATAATTGTGAGTAATTTGCGTTGTGATAATGATACGGGACTACACGTAAATGCGTGAGAAAATTAATGTGAATGTTTTCGATTTGATAAAATAACATATTTTTGAGCGAATTGATTACACGTGATTCCTTAAATACGGGAGGTAGTACGTCATATTGGCACAATTCGCCACGTCGCGTCCGCCCCCCCCCCCGAGACACGGCTGAACAGACTATAAATAATTATTTTATTTACAACATAACTGATGATGAACGATAGTGGCGTAAACTCAAAATAATCGGTGCGAACTCGAAGGTGCAAAACGCGTTGCTGATTTATAACCAAAATCAGCAACAATATACCGTTGTGTGTGTTCAACCGTAGCAGTGCGATGACTTTGGATTAATGTAATTATTAAAGGTGTTTCAAAACTTGATACATTTTCACAAATCCGATGCAAGGTTTTTCATAAGTTTGTATTGTGAAAATATTATAATATTATGTCGAAAATCCGTCTTTTAATTTTTGAAATTAAAACAAATTTCGAATACTATTAAAACTACGTGTGACTATACCTACTCCTTTATTGTGAATTTATGTGAATATAACTATTCATTAGTTTGGCTATCAAAAACAAAGTGAATATTTTTTTTACAAGATTTAAATATTTAAATTGGTTTTATATCTAATATAGGTACACAAATATCGGAAATATGGTATCACGATTTTTATAGTATTATTTTTTTGTTCCATCATAGGCGTTTCAATATCAGATTTTAATAAAAGTCACGAATATATTGTATAGGTGCCGATACTTTACTAATGTTTTTCGATCCAACATACATCATAGTAACATTTATCGCATTTATCTAGTCTAATGCGTAGGTATTAAACTAGGCTGGTACTGCTGATGGAGGAGTGTTAGAAGGGAGGACGAGACCAAACGTACGTGACCTTATTGGTATTATCATGTATAACGGAAAAAAAAATTAAATTGTAAGTCTATAAAATTGGATATCCGCCAATTCCTGAACAAAAAAAAAAGAATGGCTACTGTTCTGTTATTGCCCGACCGAGGCCGACGAGGTATAAATCTACGGGTATTTTATCCGACAGGGACGTCGTTTGCGGGAAAGAGGGGCCGGAGTATATATTTCCCCATTATGACATACAATTAATTAGAATAAACATACATTTGTTAAACCACATTATCAGACACGTTCTTTTATTAAACTAATGTGGAATGGCAAAGCCGTATTTGTGAGGGGGAGGGGGTACAGGGGGTCCGGACCCCCCTCCACGAAATTTCTTCAGTATTCTAGAAATGTTTAAAATAACTATTTATTTTTAATACCAACGTAAATATTTTCAATTATAGAATGACTTAAACTCCGATTAAATTCACCGCTGACTAATATGAATCTCGTAACATCATATGAAAATATTATTACTGCGTCTAATAATAGATTATTATCGAAAGACGCCGGTTCGCGCGCGGCGGTCGGTGACAATAAACAACAGCGATATTAATTTTGCGTACATTAAAAACGTTACTTGAATAATAATTAATGTACCGCCGTCCGTCGTACCGTGACAAATACGTCGAAACGTATCAGAATTAAAAATTCATTATAACGATTAAACGAGCGAAAAAAAAATGTACCCATTCAATTATTTTTCTAAACTTTCAAAGGTACGCGTTATATTGTTTTAAATATTATGTACATAATGTATTAATCGAAACGTTAATGCACATTCACATAATACTTAATTTTAGACCGACAATGTTCCTATCCCCCTACCACAAATAGGCTCGCCGTCATCATCACGTAGTCATTCACCCACAAATTCGCAAACGAATGAAAATAATACATTGAAGTCGGACGCGGAGCGAATAGTTGAAGACAACGATATTTGGCTACTATTCAGGTAAAACCGTATCTGATGAAATAAAATTTAAATTATTGACTGATCATTGGTCACCAGATGAAAATTACAAATTTAACACATTTAAATAAAAAATTAAAGTTTCAACGTTTCAAAGGATTAAACGTTTTCCTTGCGTTGTTTGTTCAATAATTGGTGAGCAAGGTGCAGTTTGTAAGTATTGTGCGATATTTGGTCGCGCGTTTGATGGCAAAGGCAGTCACCGGAAACTTATTACATTAGTTATAAAACCTTTTAACAACTGGAAAAAAGCGATTGAGAAATTTAATGAATATAGTCGAACTGAATTTCGCAAATCTAACGCTATGCGCGCGAATAATTTTATTGCCGTTTATTCCGAAAACTGTCAAAATATAATTCAAAAATTAGATTCCGGGCGTGCTATTCAAATTGAACAAAATAGAAAAAGATTTTACTTCTTATTATTCAAATTATTATTCTTTGTGGGCGTCAAGAAATAGCTTTACGCGGTACTAACGATTATGGACCTCTCTCTTCTTTAGACAACTCTGAACCTATTTATAACGATGGCAATTTCCGAGCATTATTAAGAATGCGCGTTTCGTGTGAAGACGAAAATCTAATATATCACATTGAGAATAAAGCATTTTAAACGTTACATATATAAGCACCACGATTCAGAATAATGTTTTAAATATACGTGGACAAATTACACAAGACCGGTTAGTTTGCAAAATTCATCAGGCAAAATGTTTTTCTGTATTATAGTCGACGAGACGACTGACGTGTCGCGTGTCAAACAACCGTCAACGTACACACAAACGTTATTTAGATAATAATTTAAATATTGAAAAAAAAAATGAAATAAATAATTATGTATTCAAAGTGGACTTCTTACAATTTGTACCGGTTAGCTCTACAAATGCGGCCAGGGTTTGGCCACAGTCATTCCAGGAACTTTAAACAAACTTGGTTTGACCTGTGACTATTTTTTTTGTTTCGTAATTAAAACTGTCAACGGACGCGTGATTGTACGAATGAAAATCGGGTCGTCAACTAGTCGACCATTTAATTTTTATTATAGTAAGCACCGAATAAAATAATTTCTCGACTTTGTATTATATTATAAATATTATTTTACAGTAGTGTATGATAATTTATTCATTTATCCCCGTGTATTGTAAATTACAAACTGACATATTACGTGGTTTTATAATATGCGATATATTTAGCAAATATGAAAGCAGAAAAACCTGTAATTTCACGGACTCTGGGCCCAATCGATTGTGTTTTGGTTAAGGCGTCTTCGGTTTCGATTTCAAAAACTATCAAAAACTATTCGATTTAAAAAATTATAATAATCATAATTTTATTATATCTATACATAAATATCCATTTGCCGTACCTCTCAAAATTAAAAATTAAATCACCAGTGAACAACAGACCGTTACCAATATTTCGTATTTATTTTTTTTTTTTTTTTTTAATTATCTTAAACAGTTATCAAATCTCGACAGAGTTACTCACCGGCGTTAACAACGCTATTATATTATGTGTTTAATTAAATTAAATTTGTATTTATTTATGGTTTTTATTCGTTAGCTACATATTAATCACGTCTACTTTCTCGCACTGCTTTCTTTAATCCTATAGGTACATCTTATAACCTTCCGGGAATTGAACGAAAAAAGTTTTATTAAAATAGGTGAAGTAGTTATCGAGTTTTTTTCGAACACACAAACAAACAGTGGGGGTGGGAGTTGGAAGTTGAAAACTTCTAAAAAGTTATCCACGACAACAAGACTATTTATGTATACAAATATTAACCCAATTACTTACTTTGGTGAGTCCGTAAAGATATTTTAAAACCGGCATTTCCTGAGAAAACGTGAAATTTAAGCATAATAATGGTTGGAGAGGGAGTTTAAAGTTGAAATAAAATAATGTTCCACTACTCTTTCCCCTTACTATATATATACTTATCTTTTTTCCGGTACTTTCAAACACTTATAGTTACTCCCTTTGGACCGAATAAACTCAAACTCGGGCATTACATTTTTTTATACACAAAAATGATCAAATAATAATGTGCTGATTATTCTGTATATATTATAAAAACCTGCAAATAAAAAAAAAAAAACTAAACATAGTTCTTGAAAAAATAAACCATAAACAAACTTCCTGCATTTAGAATGTCGAATATCATTAATGGTACTAACACTATTAATGGTATTGTCGAAGTAAAAACCGTTGGGATCGAGACGAAAGCAATGTGAATGTTACTGCGAATGGTTGCGAACAGCTCGTTTGATTTAGGTATCGCAAAACAAGTAGAGTGACGAGGCCCTCGAAGAATACTTTTTGAACTGCCTAATAGTATAAATGTTAAAACTTTTAAGGAATAGTTCATAAAAACTGTTTATATTTTTATACTTATGAAAATTACTTTAAATTTACTGTACCTACGCGAATATTCATCACACATTTTAAGTACCGTATACCTACACAAAATTATAATAATAACATTAATATATATGAGCGATAATGAAACAATGAAGGACGAGTAGAATAAAGTTGAGGGCTCACCGCCAAGGAAAACTTTTTTTTCTTTTTTTTTTTTTTTTTGGCAATTGGAAAATTTGCAAATTTTAAAAATGTATCAGTAAATTTTAGTAAATTATTTGAAAACATTGGTTCAGGGTTGAAGTCTGTAAGGTGGTGTTAATTTCACGGACGTGGTTAAAATGTTTTAAACTGCAAAGAAATTTACTAGGTTTTTTATTGTTTTGTATCATACGACAATATTAATATATTATTTTAACGATTGACAAAATTCGTAAACATTGAAAATATTTGTATAGTTTATATAAAGTACCGTTGATCGCCGGACACTCTATTTATAAATCGTGTTTAAATGCGTTAAGAGTAAACGAGAAAACAAGAATGTACTATCAAGCTTTTTTTTCTGAAATTTCAAGGTACATTATAATATTATTTAATATTTTCGTATTAATAAATTAACAATTTCAACTGTAGAAACCCGGCCTAGTTATGGGCGAGCGTCATGTGACGGTTGCCCGGGGGGAGGGAAGCAAGGTCGCCAACCTACGGCCGAGACCCGGGGGTCGGAGCACATAGGATTTTCGTATATATATAAAAAAAAAATAATATAAAAGAAAACAAAATATTTACAAGATTATATTATATTGTTTCAACAAAGGTTTATTTGTTTATATATATATATATATATATATATGTATGTACAATTGCGCTAGCATCATAACCTGAGGGACACGTCGCCGGAAAATGATTGAATGAGAGCGAGGCACGTCGCATTTAGTGAGAGATTCGCACAGGGTGGTGTGGGGCGGCTTACCCGTACTACACCATACGGCCATTATTTTACGGGGGGATCCGTGCCGATTACAGTATATGATTGGACCTACCAAGCCCCTACGGGTCCCCTGGCGAATATATGTATAACACGAGACAGTAACATAGGCACGCTACTCATAAACAAACAATAAAGTAAATTATAATAAAATGAGCAACGAAAATATAAAAAAAAATGGAATACAACGGGAGAAACATCGGCCACATTATTATTAAGAAAAAAAAAATGATATTACCTCCGTGGACCTGTGGCGGTACCGTCCGGCACACCGGAACTCGTAGGTATTTACTCAGCGGCCGCGTTATTCGGACGGGAACCAAAACAGAAAAGTCAAGCGTTGTCTGTCGTCGCAATCCGGCTCGCCAAGCTCAGCACTGGCGGCGACAGACGATAATCTCGAAAGGACGTGTGATTGGCCGACGTTTCGCCCGGTGTTTACATATCATTCCGTAAACGAATTCCCCGGACACATCGGTACTGTTAGTGACGCGATCGGTATGGAGAGGTGGTGAGAATGAACTTCTGATACTGATTACAGTGTCCTCGCGCGTCGCGGGATAGTGAGGAAAGGTATGTGGTTTTGGACGTTACATGTTTTATTTTAGGCCGACAATTTTCCTATTATTCTACTATACAGATAGATGTTTTGTATTATTTTTATCCAAATGTCAAAACATAACCTCAGAATTTACTAAAATTACAATATGCGTTTTTCGACATCCCCCCCCCCCTTACCAACGAAAAAAAATGTCTGGATATGGCCTTGATTGGGACACACCTTATTTTCATACATTTAAGACGACTAATAAGTAATTGGGAACAATATATGCTCTCAATGTCCGATTTCAAATTTTTAAATATGCATGAATTTGTTGACATATTTTTCTGATTTAAGAAAATTGATTTTCAATTTTAGATTTATTTGACAATTTGTCAAACAATATTTACAAACCTAAAAAATAAAAATTACATTGAAAAGTATATCTAATCTCTCACCACTTTTAGTCAATAACTCCATCTTTATTTCTGAAAACCGCCATAGCCTATTACCTCTAAACTTATTGGACAGTAGATTAGTGGAAAAGTCTAATCGTTAAGGTGATTAATGAATAGTAAAAATAATTTTTAAATTTAACAAAATTGGAAACAAATACGAAAACCGGTTACAATCCCCTTGACGCAATATATCTCAGCGTACATATACCATCTATTGGTATTTTAATTTTAAGTTTAAAATCGCATTTGAAATAATAAAATGAATAAATTATCGGTATGATTTTATAATATTTTATTCGAAAAATTCTTTTATTTTCCATTCGATCAAAAAAAACAACATAAAATGTTCGGATAAACGCGAAGACTGGTGAGTACTCTGAATAATACAAAGCTTTGTTAAAATAATAGAAATGCTCCGACTACTGAAACTAACAAGAGGTGATTCCGTTTCCCCGCGCCCTCGCTCATTACATATAGACAACCATTGTCGATTTCGAATTGTTTCTTAGAAAAAATAAATGTCTTCCGAATAATTTTCCAATCCATCCACTTAATTTCTAAATAACATTCCTGCGATGATATTTCTTTAATGAATGTCAATACCATAAAAAAAAAACAAAATTCATTCGTTGTGTTATCATCACTTTTATATAATCTTAAATTTAAAAGACGTTATATATATTAAAATGATTAAAATAGAGGAGAGTGTTTTAAAATAGGTTTTTTCATTTAATTTATATTATTAAATCAAACATAAATAAAATTCGTATAGATTTTGTGCATACAGGGTACCTATACAGCGTTATATTTATGGAAATAACTCTGCCAATGTTCGTTTTTTTTTTTTTGAAATATTATTTTTCAACGCGATTTTATGCCAGGGGCCACAGTTGTAGAAAAAAATTAAATTCATATATTTTTCCCTTAATCTCTGAAAAAAATAACTTTATTTTTTCACTTCTTAATATTTTCAAACTAGCCATTTTGTAAAATATATTATTCTATTCACATTTGAGTGTATATCACGTATTCATATTCGGTTAATAGTTTCTTAGTGATAGCCGTTTGAATTTCTAGTTTTAATTAATTTTCAATAGAATAACACATTAC